TCACTAATATAGAAGAGGTATCTACCCATAAAAATAAAGCGGAAAAGGCTGAAGAAAAATCTGTAAGAGAAATAATTGAAGAACTAATTAATAATAAAGGATTAACACAAGAACAAAAGGGCAAAGTTAAAGAATTTTTACTCAAGGAAGAAACTTTGTTCGCACAAGGGTTGGAAAATTTAGGCTGTACTAATGTGATCACCCATAGTATCAATACAGGTGATGTCGTCCCAATTAAACAAACGTATTATAGGGCCACTTATGAAGAAAATGAGTTTATAAAAAAAGAAATAAGTAAATTAAAGGAACAAGGACTTATAGTGGAAATAAATAGTTCTTGGGCCTCTCTGGTAGTAATAGTACTGAAGAAAAATAGTAAACTACGCTTTTGCGTAGATTATCGAAAACTTAACTTGGTAACTAAAAAGGATACATGTCCACTTTCACATATCAATGATCTCCTGGATACCTTCAGTATGGCGAAATGGTTCTCCACTTTGAACCTAATAAGTGGATATTGACAAGTGGGAGTAAGCGAAAAAGATTTAGAGAAAACAACGTTTATAACAAAATACGGCATATACGCATTCAAAATAATGCCGTTTGGTCTATATAATGCGCCAGGAACTTTACAACGATTGATGGATACTATGCTAGGAGACTGCATCAGAAATTTTACCATAGTATACCTGGATGATATTAATATTTATTCGAAAACGTTAAAAGAACATTTAGGACACTTAAAATGTGTTTTCGAAAAATTAAAAAAAGCAGAATTGAAGTTAAATCTGGAAAAGTGTACCTTCTTTAAATCAGAAATTAACTACTTGGGCCATGTAATTAATAAGGAAGGGGTAAGACCTGATGAGTCTAAGGTCGAAAAGATTAAGAAATTCCCCATGCCAGAAAACCTATGCCAATTAAGAGGATTCATTGGATTGGTGTCATATTATCGTCGTTTTATTAGGGGATTTGCAATAATAGCCCGACCTTTACATAGATTGTTAGGAAAGAATGTCCCATATAAGTGGACTGAAGAATAACAAAAGGCATTTGAAATGTTAAAAAGATACCTGATGATGGCTTCTATATTAAGGTATCCAAATTTTAAAGAACCATTTTTTCTACATACCGATACTTTTGGTGTAGGATTAGAAGCCATACTAGCTCAAAAGGATACAAGTTACAAAGAGTATATAGTGGCGTATGCTAGTAGAGCGCTGTCCAAGACTGAACAAAATTATTCAGCACCCGAATTGGAGTGTTTAGCTGTAGTGTGGGCCACTGAACATTTTCACTACTATCTTGGTGCTAAACATTTTTCCTTAATTACAGATCACGCAGCTCTTAAATGGTTACATACATCTGAACCAAAAGGAAAAAGAGCGTGTTGGATCTTAAGGTTACAACCCTACGACTACTCTATTATACACCAACCTGGTAGAAAACATTCTAATGTGGATGCGTTGTCACGAATGTACCTATCAAAAGAATAAATTTAAAAGTAATAATAATAATAATTAAAAAAAAAAAATTTTTTTTTTCATTATATGAAAATTAAAAGGTGCTCTGCCTATAAGTCATATATTGTGCGAAAATGAGAGGTGCTCTGCCTATAAGTCGCTCAAATAAGCCTGGTACTGGCTAGGTTCACTACCGAAATAAGTACTGCGCGAAAATTAGGAGGTTTGTCTAGCTTGTAAGTCGTTCAAATATGCCTGGTACTGGCTGGGTTCACTACCGAAATAAGTACTATGCAAAAATTAGACCTAATTAAGTGTAAAGAAAGAAAACAAAGTTTTAATTTAGTAAAATTAGCAGAAAGTTAAAAAAAAAATAAAAATAAAAATAAAATTTTTTTTAATTAAATATATTATAAAAGGATACTTAAGAAAAACCAAAGGTTTTAAAATCTGATATAAAGTTTAATCCGGTCCAGGTAGTTGGTGTCCTGGCATAACTAAAGATAGAACCCCTTCTATATCAACTACTAAGAACATACCTAACAGAACATACATTACCACGTACGATAACTCCACAAGAACGACGAAGCATACAAGCCCAAAGTCAATTCTTTAAAGTAAAGGATGGCTTAATCTATAAGAAAGACAAGCATAAAGTCAATCATCTATTGAGAGTAATTTAAAAATATGAAGTCGAACCCATTATGTTCTTAGTTCATACTCACCTGTTAGGAGGACACTTCGGCGTAGACATAATGTTTAACAAGATTCGTGGCAAATATTACTGGCCACAGATGTACGCCGATATTAGGAGGTTTGTTCATACCTGTGATGCCTGTCAAAGAAGAGGAAAAAATTTAGCAAGACCTCTATTGCATCCAATACCCGTCGAAGCCCCATTCTATAAAATCAGAATTGATATCGTTGGGCCATTACCTGTAACCCCAAAGGGAAATAGGTATATTGTAGTTGCTACAGACTACATGACTAAGTGGCCTGAGGCTAGAGCAATCAAGAATGCCAACGCTCAAGAAGTGGCAAACTTTATGTATGAAGATATTGTATGTTGCCACGGATGTTCACAGTATCTACTTTCGGATAGGGGAACACACTTCAGGAATAAGTTAATGGATGAATTTCTTAAGAAATTCGCCATAGTGCTCCTAGGTCTGGTCTGGGTTCGGTCTGGTCTGGGTCTGGTCCGGGATTGAACCAGACTCAGACTCTAAATTTTACTAGTTTCGAACTTCAGACCAGACTCAAACTTAATTATGAGTCCGGTCTGAGTCTGGTTCGAAGTCTGCAGACTAGTTTGAGTCTGAATCTATTTATCTGGTTTGAAGTTCAGTCCGAAGTTTGCAAACAGTCTGGTCTGGTCTGGTAGGTTTTTTGTGGCTTAGCTCATCATGTGAGCAGATTTGTTGCTCACACGATGAGCTAAGCCACAAAAAAACTATCAGACCGGACCGGACTGTTTGCAAACTTCAGACCTAGTGCTTGGACCCATCAAAAAAACATTACTCGAATATTTAGGTAGAAGTTTCAAGTTTATTTTGTCTACTCGAATTGCCACCTTTTGCCACTCAAATGCCTTTATATGATGTGATGTATAAAGTAGCAGCAATTAAGATAATAAAAGATTCGCATAAAAATAAACAACTTTTTTTAAATGAGGTATTTATTTTTTTTACACGTAAATTTATAACATTGTTTAAGAATTAATTGTATAAATTGACAATTTTTTAGTTAAAGGTGTATCATGAATTTGAAATAAAAATACGGAAGATTTTATTTTAGTGCTAAATTATGCAAAATTTGGATCATTACATGAAAATCTTAAAGATATATTTAAATTGGAGTGGAAAATTAAACTAAAATTATTATGCGACATTGTTAATAATCTATCAAATATTCATTCTAAAAACTTTATACATCAGAATTTAAATCCTGGTAATATTTTACTAAAAGAACAATATGAAGCTTATATTGATTTGGTTCATCAATATCGTGTGATGAAAAACAGATGGTGTTTTGCCATATTAGCACCTGGGATCTTGAAAAGTGAACACTTCACTCAAGCTGTTGATATTTACAGTTTTGGAATTATTATGATAGAAATATTAACTGGATGAAGACCTTTCGATGGTTACAATTTTGATGCTGAATTAGCGGCAATGATTTGTCATGGGTTACGACCTGAATTTTTATAAAAACACCAAAATATTATATTAAATCGGCAAAACAATGTATTAATTCAGATATGAAAAACAGATCTAAGGCTGTTGAGATTATTGATAAAGAATTAGAGTCTCTAATTTGTGAATTGGTTTCTGATCAGTGTGAATTCTTAGTAAAGACCTGTTCTAACTTGAAAAATAGAAAAATATTATAGTTGCACACGATAATAATACTAAATTAGACATGAAAAAAAGAACTAAAGCTGTTGGAATATTTAATAAATTCAAAGAATGGAAAAATATTATAGTTGTAAATAATAATAACGTTAAGTTAGATAAAGAAATCAAACAGCAATTTTTAGAAGCTAAAAAACCAGAATTCAATTACCTCACAAAAACACGATAATATGATGTATCTTTCTAAGCTTATTTATATGAGAGAAATCATTTCAAAGTCTGAAAATTTTAGGATTAATCAATAACTTAATCTAAATAAAAAAATCCGTATTGAAAATATTGATAGTAATTTATTTTTTCATGATTTTTATAAATAACAAGATTAAAGGATATTAAATACTATAATATAGATCAATAATAAACATAAATAGATTATTTTAAATGCTTTTTTATACCCACCAAAATTAATACGAATAATAAAATTAAATTCAAAGATTACGTAAATAATGATATATTCTCTGCAGAAAAGTATTCGCCCTACCTTAAATTATGCAATATTTAGTTGCAATACTATTAAACCATTCAATGTAAGAATTAGCATTTATAATCCTAAATAACGTTGACTATATTCCTGATTTTAGTGCGACAGCATTATAATAATAAAATTATCTTGCATATAAAAATATAAACCGATCATTGCCGAAATTAATAACTTAATCGAATTACCCGAAAAATCATTTGGCCAATTTTTATCAAGTGCCTCGAGTATTCGAACTCAGATTAGTCTGCAGACTTCGGACCAAACCCAGACCAGACTTAGACTTGATTAAAAAGTTTGAATATAAAAGTCTGAGTCTGGTCTGAAAATCAGACCAGACTCAAACTTGACTAAAGTCTGGTTTGAGTCCGGTCCGTAGGAGCACTAATTCACCATTAATCATCATTACTCGACACCTTATCACCCTCAAACCAATGGATTAGTAGAGCGTTTTAATAAAATGCTTTGTGAGTCCATATCTAAACTTGTAACCAACGTAAGAGAATGGGACTCCTTAATACCTTTGGTACTCTTCGCTTACCAAACTGCTAAACAAAGCATGACGAGAATTTCTCCATTTTTCTTGGTCTATGGAAGGGAGGCTAGATTTCTGATTCATTCTAGTAAAAATGAAGAATTATTAGAAGGAACGTTTTTACACAAACTTTTCAAATTAATTGAAGTATTACCTGAAGTAAGAAATAATGCCATGAAGCAAGTTGAAAAAGCACAAGAACATGCGAAGAGAATACATGATTAGGGATTACCACCTATACAAGATTTTAAGAAAGGAGAGTTAGTATTAGTATACAAAGCTCACAATAATATTCGAAAAGTCATAAACTCCACCCGAAGTGGAAAGGGCCTTTCGTCATCCATAAAGTGCTCCAAAAGGGAGTATATAAGTTACATACTGTAGAAGGGAAGATAATAAAAACATCTATAAATAGAAAGTTAATAAAACAATACTATTCCAGATAAGGAAAATAGCGAAAGGGTTAAAAGCGAAAAAAGACATGAATTAATTAAACTTACCATTTTATAGTAACAATGGATTATAACGCAATCGTCATAAACAATAGACTTTAATATACCCTATCAAAACCTGTAGAAAAAAAAAAATTTTAATAAAACAATAACATTTTAGATATTAGAAATTGAACAAATTGCAAGTGATATAACACGTTTAAAAGATTGGTGTCAAATATATGACTCCTAGAAAACAACACAAGAATGAATAAGTGGAAATGAGGAAGTTGATAAATTGTATTAAGGAATTTCCACTTAAAAGCTAAGAATTACCAGGACGTAATCGAATGAAGTCCTCATAATAGATTAATTGGTGTACAAATGATTGGTAAAAGGGGATATGGTTTTGTATTTTTCGCAATGTGGTTAAATGGTAAAAGAATGATTATATCCACTGTTGAGTATGGTTATATACGGTCACGAAAGCCCCATATGTAGTGCTTTTAAAACTTTAACTGGTTCACAAAAGGATTTTTTAAGAGAATTAAAAAAAAAAAAAAAATTTTACACAAACTTTAGATTAGTAGGTAATAATCTTGGAGCATATGACCTAAATCAAAACACAACTAATAAGGATTATTTGTTGATAATTCGATATGCAAGTAGAGGATGTCTTCATAAATTCCTATCTTTAAGATCCAATGTGCTTAATTGAAGAAGCCTGGGATTAACTAGAAAGAATGATAATTTAAATTTAGAAGACATTTTGGTATTATAGCTGAGATGTCTACGGGAAGACCTTCTTATTATAATTTTGAATATGATGAAACGTTAGCTATGGAAGAACCAACTACATATGGCACCTGTAAAGAACTATCAAGATGAGTATAAATAGGCACATAGAAGTACAATATCAAGACAATAATCGGAGACACGTGAACCGAATAGTGCTATTACACTTGACTTCGTTCTCAAGTCGGGATGGAATTCTGCAATTAAGAAAAATATTAGACGATAAGAGATTTAGATTAATTATAATCTACAGAGATCTGTTGCACTTAAAATAATTCGTATTCAAATGAAAATGAATAAGAATTTACCCACGAATTGAAGAATTATGATAATAAATCGAATATGAGCAACACAATCGAAATAAAAAGATAAATTAACCATTTATTTAACTATATATTAAGTTAATTTCTCATTAACGTGTATAGCTTAAAAATGATATATGATGCAAATTACAAACACATATTACTAATCCTAAGTTTATTAAGATCTTAATAGATAATTCTTATAGATATTGAACATTCATTTAAACTATTACGATAAAGAGTAAGATTCGAATTCAATAGGATTATAAAGATATGATCCTGGAAGAATCATATAAAACAAGGGAGTAGTATATAAAGGTTATAGTTTAATTTTTTTTTTCTTTAAACATTATTATTAACATCTACTTTAACAGAAAATTATATATTATTAAAAGTTTTTTTTTAATGTTGTTGGACAAAACAATAGCATATTACTTACCATTACTATTATACTCCGCAAATCTCTTACATACTAATTCGGTTGTTTATCATTAAATGACTACTTAACATAAGTTATAACAATATTGCATACATAGCTTCAAGAATTACAAAAATGATCGAAATACCCAGAGATGAAGAACAGAAATTTTGGGAATACGTTATTAGATGGGAATTGTTCAAATTGTATATTTACCATCTAATCCTTAAGAATATTCTCAAAGGAAAATCTTTTCAATCCGATTTTGATAATGACATAGAAGCCGATGATCTACTGGGAACTGTAACCAGTTGTAACTTTAATTCTCAAGTGAAGGAAATAGTTTGGCATTCTGTCAACAATCAAGCCTACGAATCTAAAATTTTAATTTGAAGAAATTAAGGTTATAATGATTATCTTATTATGAATATAAAAGATATTGTAACTATAATTTATACTACTATTTAAGTTATAGAGATTATACTACTAACTAATTTTACTACGAGTAATTATTTATTTTTATACAAGATTTTATATTATTTACAAAGAAAGCTAAGAGAATTTATTTATTTATTTAATAATATATATAATGAAATTAAAAACTAATATAATGAAACTAATGGAAATCTTCTTCGTCTAAAAGTTTCTCAAAAGCTTCATAATAAGCTCTTGCCTCTATTTGACTGTAATCTGTTTCTTTTCTTTCGAACCAAGGGATCTCAGATCTACTGCTTTCTTCTACTTCTTCAGCATTTATTTGGACTTCATCTTCTACATTTTTTATACTATTAGAATCTATATCTTGTTCTTGTTCCTATTTTCTATATGCAATTTCATTTAAGTATTCAAGATTATCATTATTTTCTGCATTTTCCTTAGCTTCAATTTCAATTGATCTTTCTTCTATATCCATGGAATTTTCATCCCACCCAATCATTTGCATGCTATCTTCATTGATAGTACTATTTCCTTCTTCTTCATCTTGATTTCCTTTAGGGATAACAATTTCTTGTTCTTTCCAATCTTGATTGTTGTTCAAAGTTTCACCCCAACTATGTTCACTTTCTTCATACATTTCACATTTTTCTCGAAGTTGTTTATTTTCTTCTTCCACATTTTCAATCCACCAATTTCTCCTAAATTCTTATTATTAATATTTTAATTATAATAATTATAAGTTAAAATTTTATTCTTACTATTGTAGTTCATTTTTTAATTCTTGTCGTTCTTTTTTTACTATTACTATTTCTTCTTCTAGTTCTTTTATTTTCTCTAATTTTACTTGCAAATTTTTTTTTCTTTAGTTAATTCTATTCTTAATTCGTTAGTTGACTTTTCTAATCTCCAATTTGTAGAATACCATTCTTCTCGTTCTTTTCAAAATTTTTCTCCTGCTTCTCTAATTTCTTGATCTTCTTCATATTGTTTTAATTGTTGTTTTAATTTTCGAAGTTCTTCTGCTTTTTTAGCAGATTCTTTTCTAAAATATCTAATGGTATTATATGTCGAATCTTCTATTTCTGCTATTTAATACTTATCTTTTTCTTCAATATATAATAATTTAGTTAAATAATCGATTTGATTTTTTCTTTTTTGTTCTTGTTCTTGAAATTTATTTGATTGAATTTTTGCAAGTTGTTCTAATTGCATAAACTTATTCGATAATATTTGTAATTCTTTATCTTTTTGTTGTACTTCATCAATAACTTCTTTTTGTTTTTCTTTATCAAACTTTTTACTATATAATTAATTATTTTATTAATTTTTTTTTTATATATTATTAACATATATATATATACCTTTGTCTTTTAGGATGTTCATGTTGTTTTTTAAATTTTCGAGGCATTATCACTAAATTTATTTTTTTAGATCTCGTAAAATAAGGTTTTAAGAAATTCTCCTATTGAATTATTAAGTTGTACAAATTATGAACTTAAGGAGTTGGATTTTCAAAATTAGTAATTATTCTGATGTGAACAAATGAGTTAGAATACTTATCTGTTGATCAAAAGGATTAGGGTTCAAAACTCGTTGTGAGTAAGCTAATGCCTTTCTTATGACCAAAGATATGATGTGGCCTCTTAAGGATGATATACCAGAATAAGAATTTTTTTTCTTTTATTATTATTATTTTTTTTGTGTGTTTAAATATCATTAACTTCACTAATTTATTAAATATTTATTATAATAATTTATGCCTGGTATGCATAAAATAAGGTTGGGCAAATGTCACAGGCTAAAATGAAGGATCTACAAAATTAGGCACAGCAAACCCGTGATTAGAGCAATAAATCCAAGAAATACTGGTTTATCAGTTGAGGCTTATCGGCTGAATACAGACAAAACAATCACCAATGCGAAAACTGAAGAACAAGCAACGCGTAAGAAGGAATGAAAGAAGGCCGAATATCAAGATTAGGATATAGTGAAAGTGGCTGTAAAAGCAAATAGTTGTAGTCAGCGAAGCAAAGCCTTCTTTTACAATAATAATGTTGTAACTTATCATTGTAAGCCCCTTAGCTTAGAAGTAGTTCCCTTAAATTCGTTAAAATGTAATATGTGAGTCATCCCCAAGCCCCTTGAATCCTTTACATTCGCTAAAGCTATAAAAGCTCTAGCATTTCACCCTTCTTAAACATCATCCTTCGGAAGTTCTATTATTAAATGTCCTACGGGATTCTAATAACTTCTTTCTAACACATTTACTAAATCACCTGGTCAAACTCATTTAATAATAAATTATTGTCAAAT